CTTTACGTAATTACAAAGATTTTAAATACATAAACGAGGCCGCCATGGCCGAAAATACAACGTTCTACACTATAAAGAATCCTAGCATCGTCTAAGTCTGTGAATGCGAATAAGACGCCCTTTCTCCTACGATTTCCTAAAAATATTAAGATACGGGGTGAGCTCAACAACCCAGTAGGCAATGCCTAAAACACCAGTTTTGGAATCCTTTAAGCCAACTACCAAAGAATGGGAGAAAGAAATCGGGATCATACTCAGGAAATCATTAAAATCACAATTCACACCATTCATATTAACAGATCATCATCATATAAACCAATCATTTTTATAAATGTCAATGTGCCATAATGCAATGCCTTCCCGACCGCAGTCCCGGCCAAACACAACACACACCAAAAATCCCTAACTGATTTTACCGAAGCGAGATTGATAGCTATCCCTAGTTCCAAATCCGACAACCATTTGGGGCCTAGTATCAACTTTTTCACGCCCTACACCGAGCCGCGCTCTCTCTAGATCGAATTAGTCCCGGGCTCGCTAAACCCGGTTCCATTTCCAAAACCTTTTCTCACAACCCTTTCCAAACACATTGCTTAAAAATCATTTCAATCTCATTTTCCCAAACCATGCCCATGCCATAAATGGAATTATGCATGAATGAAATCGATATAAACATGTTTGCAACTCTATCAATTTAGCTATATATACTCATCATCATATTATATATGTAACCTTAAGGAAACAATTTAAAGTAAGGCATGCTCTTTAAACAAATTTGCAACCAAACATATATATATACACAATCAACATCATATTGAACATTCTTCGTCACATAAACACGTAAGCATATAATTAACATTTAGATCCTAAATTTATCATTTTAATCAAGCTTATTAAGAAATCAAGTAAACAAATTCAACTAAAGTCAAAACATAATGGTTTAGAAATCCCTATCTCAAAAGCAGCCAAAATGCATCCCCGGCCGAAAAAGTTAACGCCAATCAACGCGGTCAATGTCGGTCAACAACGGCAAAATGGAAAACTATTCAGTGGAAACGTAGCCGACAACGAGGAGAGTAGACTACTCCTAAGGCGCGGCTCTGGAATCCGACTCGAAGTGGCCCAAAACTCCCTCCGTAGTCTTAGATCTAAAATCGTTAAAAATTTGTAAAATAATCATCGCTCCTCTGAAAATTAAATTCTTTGACTATGTGATAGATAACGATGAATAAAACATTTTCCGTTAAGGAACTGATACCGGAAACTCGACCAATTGGCCGAGAAATGAGAGAGAAATAATAAAGCTCAACAGGAAAGAAAAATAAAAAGAAAATGAGAAGAGGACAGAGAGCTGCGTGAGGGAGAGAGATTCTAGCTGAAGTATAAGCCATAAGATAGATAAACAATAAGTTAATAACGTGTGGGGCCTACCCAAAAAGAAATATCTCCATTTACCTGTTTATATATATATATATATACACTAAACACTTCACAATCACACATTTCCAACCACATAACCATATAAATATACATTATAAAATAATGTATGAAGAGTAACAGCCCCGAAAAATAATCTCTGTGCACAACAATACCGGTTGCGAGTCCCGCCTGGAACCTCTCTGCCCAAAAAACAAAAAAATGCCAAAATGGCTAACAATGCATTTCTAAGAGTCTTGAACTCCAAGAAATGCCCCAGTCAAGTATCAGGATTCACCCAGCACACCCCATGGTATCCGGCATGCAAAACAAGGTACGAAAAAGAAAAATTGCAAAAAATCAAAAAATCCTTGAAAATAGAAAATAGGAAAAATATGAAACATTACATTGCCAAAGGGGAAGATTGTGAGATATATATATTTTGGGGAGATTTTGAGATATATATATTTTGTAAATGGCTAATTTCGTTGTCAAAATAAGTCTGATCGAGTTGTAAAATTTCGGTTTAGAATTTCAAGATTGAAGATCGGAAGCAGATTTGAAGAAGTTCAAGTGTTCATACTTTAATACAGTCCGGGATGATGAGAACAATACTTTAGAAAGGTGTATAAGTGTCTGAGAATACTTAGGAAGTTTTGGAAGGTTGAAACACAAGTTTTTAGGAAGTTTACATTCTGCCCATCTTGAACTGGTTCAAGATTATTCGAACAGATTCAACATCTGAGGCTTTGTGGAGATTTTTTTTCCAAGACTAATCATCTTGAACCGATAGGAGAATCCTGAACCGGTTTAAGAATTAAAAGGATTCTTCGAATTTGTTTCCTAACCGGTTGGAGAATCCTGAATCGGTTCAAGAAACAAAAGGATTCTTTGAATTTTTTTTTTTTTTTTTTTCTGGCCATCTTGGACTGGTTCCACTTTCCTGAACCGGTTCAAGGTCTGGTAGCTTTGGTAACTTTAGTTTCCTGATCTGTTTTGATTCATATTTGGTTTAGACTTCCTTCCAAAATCCTATGCACGAATTTGACTTGGTTTCCAAGTATTTTTTTGTCTTCCAAACTTCTATATAATCTCTCTTTCATTCAACATTGAGGTATGGATTTTAGGAATGAGAATTCATTATTTTGAGAAAATCTTTTTAAGAGATATTGTTTAGAAAATCAAATCTAATTTTTCTATTTTTATTTTGAGAACACACACATATATATGCGAGTGATTTAGTAGTGTTGTTCTCTATCTCATCGGAATTGGAACATAATTGAAGATTCAAATATTCTAAAAATTAGATCTATTTCTTCTACATAAAATTTAGATCTTGAAGAAAAAGGGTGAAGCGATCACACTTTGAAAGGGTCAAAGCATTTGAGGAGTGTGGTTTGATCTACTAGCAATCCTTCTATAGAGATCAAGAATAAGCCCGAAGTCAAGAGTTGTTGGACGGGACATTGCAAAGCTGGAGATTGCGATTGGTTTTTTGTAGACGATAGGGTGTAAGCCTAAGTCAAAGTTTATTGTACTTTGTTTCATACATAGTGGATCATTTTGCTTTGGACTGCATAGTTTACGAGATTTTTCCTATAACAATTGGTCTATTATGCCATTGGGTTTTCTTCGCTAAAAATCCTGGTGCCATCTCTCTAACTCTACTTACTTTACTTTTTAGTATTTATCTTTGTGATTGCGGATGTTTAATTGATATATTGTTTAGGTAATTTAATCAATCACAAAAATTGGGCAAGTTGACTTGTAAATCTTATCTAGGTCATTTAAGGAGTTAATGACAATTAAATCAACTAATAGCTTCTGCACTGTGTAACTCACAAATTATGCTGGTGAGTTGGTTGGGCAGTTCCTTTTTTTTTTCTGTTCAACTTTCTTAGATCTCACTTAGAAAGATAAATTTCTCCAAGGGGGTGTGGTTCTCCAATTACTCTCAAATTTTTATACTAGATTCCCATGGTAGTCTAAAATCTCTCTTTAAAATATTGGTGATTTAGGACAAGTTCTTATTTTTATAAAAAATTGACAGTAACTGTTGTCCAACCTTGTGTCGCAGTCCGAGAGTAGATTTTTGTGAAATTATTTGACCGACTTCCCGACATCAAAACATTACGAAATTCTCCAATATTATTCTCCCATGAGTTCAATTTCAAAATAAATTTAGTTTGTCACATTTCAAGGTCAGATGAATTTTCAATAAATATTTCTTTCAAGCAGCCCGTTTTTCAATTTTTGAGCACTTGGGGCATGTCCGAGTGCCCGATACAGATGAAAACAGAAGGATGAAAAGGCGCCTTATTTAAATTTCCAACAGTCTCCCATCTCCGGTCACCCCTTTGTTTTTTTTTAGGAAAATTCTATCATCTTTCTTTTCACCACTTGGTTAATATGAGAATCATGAAAAGGACTCTTATTGACAGAGTCAAATTGATGCAACTTTCTCTTCAATGCAGTGGATTATTCTACTTTGGAGTGGACTAGGGTTTGTGATTTGATTTCTCCTTTTATTATAATTGTCAATTGATCAATTCTTTTTAATCATTTCCCTTATCTTTCCTCCTCCTACTACTATTAATTAAGTCATCCCATTTTGTCAGAAAGAAATGGCTTCAGACTTTGAAACGACTTTAAATTACAGCCAGGGGTGGATCATTCTGAATTCCCTACAATATTGTTATCCAACACAATATTGTTGTAATCAAGTCAAGTTGAGTTAAATTATTAAATATCTGAACTGTGATTGATAAATAAAATAGTTGATTGGAGTTCAGATCAAGCTCCGACACTGCTAGAGAACTGGACCTAATGTTAGACAATTTAAAATTAAACGTATATGGAAATGGACGCGGTTTGAAGGGTTGATTGGTTCATTGACGAGGACTAGTCCTTGTGGAAAATCTAAATTCTATAGTTTTACCCACCTCTCCCCACGGAGAGCATATTTAGTCAACCGACCAATTAGGTACATAACAGATACATTTCGGTAGGTGAGTATAAACTAATCCTATCCACGTCAGTGACAAGTCATATTTTACACTCAGACAAAAAGAAGTTTGATAATAAAAATTCGAGAATATCAAAACTTCTAACTCCTTTTCAGAGCTCCCACAAGGAACCCAAAGCCCTTCGCAAAGTAAAAAAAAAAATTTACGGTGTCAAAAATTACTTGAACTTGATCGACTCATTTGGCTTGATTAATCAATGTCAAGTAAAGCTCAACTCGATGTTTTAATAACAATTTTGAGGAGAGGGGAATTTGATTATAAATCAAACGAGGCTAAATAAACGAGCATGTTCGCAATTCTTCAGTAGTTTTTTAAACAACAATTTTGCGATTCTAATCATCTCAGGCTTGATTCATCTAATTAATTTTGAGCTTGAATTTGAACTACAAACACGAGTGTTTTCCTTAGAAAATGAAAATGAACTGAACCTTAATCGCGGGGAACTCTAGATTTTTATGAATCATTTGTTTATTTGCAATCCTCAGTGTATTGTGACAAAGGCATGCCTATTAAGATTAACAGAAAACTTCTGTGAAATAGTTATGTGTAAGATCATACTTTCACCAATGAAGTTGTGATTTGACACCATAATTAAGATGCTTTTTCTAATAACATTACATCCATATTGCAAGCCATGGAAACTTATACAAGATAGAGGGAAAAAAAAAAAAAAAACTAATTCAAGATTCGCTAGATGAGTACAACATGTTGCCTACATATTATTAATATTTATGCAATACCAGCAAGAAACATCTGCAATTGTGCTCTTAATTTCATTCTAAAATAACTGTCAACTCTCTATTGAAAGCTCTTGCAGGCTTAATTGAACTTGTGTTCGTTTCTGATGCAGAAGCGAAAGGATTTGGTGGTATGGTCAAGTTGTTTCCTTCTTTTTCCAGCATTTGAACCACAATTTTCATGGAAGGCCGATCCACAGGATACCACTGAATGCACCAGAGCCCAACAATAGCTAATTTCTCTGCTATCTTAGCATGTTCCTCTTTCTCGATGCTGATCATACCTAGCTCTTCTCCTTGATATAAACGATTATAAATCCATTCTGGAAAGTATGTTTGGCTAGTGTTCTCTACTTTTACATCAATATTTTTCCTCCCACCAACCATTTCAAGCAACAACATTCCAAAGCTATATACATCTGATTTATATGACACATTCCCGAAATTTCTTGAAAAGACTTCTGGAGCAATATAACCCATGGTCCCTCTTGCAGCAGTCATAGAGACAGCACTTTGTTCCTTGGAACACAACTTTGCTAGGCCAAAATCACAAATCTTTGGGTTGAAATTATGGTCCAACAATATATTGTGAGGTTTGATATCAAAATGAAGGATTCTTTGATCACACCCTTGATGAAGATATTCAATTCCTTTGGCTATGCCCACAGCAATTTCTTGTAGCTTCTCCCAACCAAGGAAATGGTTCTTCTGATCTTCTGAAAATATGAACTTTTCTAGAGAATCATTTGGGCAGAACTCGTAAACAAGAGCTCGACTAGATCCATCAGCACAGAAGCCGACCAAGCGAACCACATTCACATGGTGGATTCTACCAATTGTTCCCACTTCATTGATGAACTCATCTCCTTTTTCTTTTGAATTGTTGAGAACCTTAACAGCTACAAAAATATCATTGGAAAGTTTTCCTTTGAAAACGGTCCCATAACCCCCTTGCCCCAGTTTTTCTTTGAATTGATTTGTGATCTTTTTGATATCATCATAAGAGTATCTTGAGGGCTTGAGAGCTCTATAGTCCTCCAAAAAAATTTCAATCTTTGCTTGATCTTCTTTCAATGCTTTGTTTGAGCTATTGACACGATAGAGTACGACAACTACAACAACTACGAGAGCAAGAACTAAGAAAACTGAGATCACGGTAGCTGCATTAAAATAAACCAAGTCAACGAGAAAAAATATAAGAAAAAACCATTTTTTAGTCATTGATATGAAACAAAATGTGATCAATAGACAACTTTACCTGTCACAATTTGTTTTATTGATGAACCTGTAAAAATAGGATAAAAGTATTAGTTTGCCGTGCTTATGAAATAAGAAAATCTGACTAGCACATATTTTGCGCCTTATTTTGAACAGATTTCAACTGTTGCTCTTTGTAGCCTTTACTTGAATCTATTGAAGGAACAAACTAATTCTTCCATTGTATTTAGAGCTTTTAAAAACAAAAAAAAAATTAAATAAATAAATTCAACCACCATAGAAGATAGCAAGTTTGAACTCCAGTATGAGTCAATTGTCCGAATGACCTTAAAATAATATGCTTTAAAGATATGTAACACAACAATATCATATATATATATATATATATATATATATATATATATATATTATACGTATGGATATTGTAAGATTTAGTACCTTTTGGTGTTTCAGGCTGAGGCATGTAGTTGGAATATTGAATATCATAGCCACACCATATTGGGGAATTTGGTTCGTACCAATACAAAAAAAGATTGTCACTCTGGTCAAATACAGAATAAGTGTAGTTACCAATCCTTGTGCAGGAAGTCAGGGAATAATAGTTGAAGCAATCAACGGCATAAATTTTATATCCATGAACAGTACTAAGGCAAGGGATGAAGTAATCTAAATGTCTATCTCGTGCAGAACAATTGTACAAAGCGTAATTACACTCAGCGTAATTAGACTCGACATAGTAAAAAGTAGAGAGAGATAAATTGAGGAATTTAAGCTGTCTTGGAAGGCACCGTTCCCTGTCATACAGGGAAATCTTTTGAGAATTGTAATCAATCTCGTCCACAAGCAGATTTACTGAATCTGGCAGGTGGAGCACGGTTTGATTTCTCTCGTCGCACGTTAACTCAAACTCGGGATAGGGATAGGCACGGTGGCCCTGCACTGTCACCGACACCGTTTGGTTGTCGTCTTTAAGCCGGAAGGGGAAACGGATGGCCGGACCCTGCTCCTCGCACCTGGAAACCTTGCACTTATCGTCGCCTTCTCCTAGGCTTGCAAACAATATTAGTAACAAGTACTGCAAGAGAAATTTGGCCATTTCAAAGTCACCACCTAATCTCCACAGCCCCTCTTTAAAACAGATTTGATGGGGTATGGTATCTCCGCGAGGTAGTTTCCAGTATTTGACCAGCAAAATTGCACTAAACACCCATTGACTTGTTGCAGATTGCACCCTTCAACTATTGGGTGTTGCAATTTACTCCCCTTTTAACTTTCAAAAGTCCTCCAATGTGTGGACAGGGATTTAGCTCAAATTAGAGTCCCAATGGTATTTGGGTCATTTTAGACAAACCATTTAAAATCTAAATTTTCTGTTTAGATTGGACACAGTCGAACCTTCAAGCCAAGCAAATATTCCTCTTTTGAAACCGCAATCCGCCGGCAATTTTACAGACGAATGTGAGTAGCAGGGATGACCCTCCTCATGGCTCTTTACTTGGGCCCTAATATATCCGGTTCTTAAAGAATTTTAAGAAGTGGAAAAAAAGACAAAAAAAAAAAAATGAAGGGTTTTGAAGGTAAAAAAAAAAGTAGGATTTGGTTCACGAAAGGGAAAAAAAAATGTAACCATTTTTTTAAAAAAAAAAAAAAGAAAAAGAAAAAGAAAATTATAGGAATTTGAAGGGTAAGGAGGAAAAAAAGAAAAATAAATAATATAACAACCTAAACCCGAGGGTCCGAATCGCTAACTGGGCCCTTACCCGAATCCGAAGTTGTCTAAGGGCACTATGGTCAATTCCAATATCAATACACAATATACGTATCATCCCACGACTAAAAAAAAAAAAAAAAATGAAATCACAAATACAAGAGATGTCAAAACAGTCCACTAACCCATCTAAACTTGTGGAGGAGCTTCGTCAGCCACTTCCTTCCCGTGACCTAAAAAAAAAATTAATATAATAGGGTGAGTCAACCGCTCAGTAAGAGGTGTCTAAGACACACCTCTTATGACCCTTTGAATTCACATAAAAGAATAGAGTACAAGTGAACGGGATCATACCTAGGAAAATAAGTAAAATAACAACAACCATTATAAGAATGTATACTAGTCATCCGACCACCAAACACACAACATATACTAATGAAATGTAATGTCATGCAATGTCGCTCCCCATTTTCGAAACAATACTATTTCACCTTTGCAAACCGTTAGTGCAATCTGACCCATGGCATCTCCATGGCATCACGAGCGGAGGTTTGATTAACTATCCCTGAACACATTGCAACTCCAAGGCATCATTAAAGGGCCTAGGTAACTCAACCACGCTAGGGTCTCTCCTTAGTCCCTTGTAGACCACGCTAACGCCATGGACCACATGGCGACTCCTAGGCGTTAAGGTTTTCGCAAACACTTTTCAAAAATGTTTTTCCCCAAACAATTTCATTTACTTTTAAAACACTATTTCTCTTTTCTTTCCCAATGAATGCATAAATGCTTCTTGCTTCTCAATGCCTGTGATGTTTCTGATTTTTTCTATTTTCCAATTTCGGTGATTTTTTTATTTTTTTGAATTTATCTATTTATCGCCTTGTTTTACGTACCGAACACCATGGGGTGTGCCATGTGAGTTCTGAGAGCTGTTTGGAGCATTTCTTCGAGTTCAGGACTTTTAGAAATGTATTGTCAGCCGTTTCGGCATTTTTTAGGTTTTTGGGCTGGGAGGTCCTGTGTGGACCCCGCACCCTTTTTTCGCACTTGGGTAGTCTTTTAGGTCCATATATATTCATTATTTTATTTGGAATATATTTTAGTGGTTGTGTGTTTATTTCATCATTGTTATCATGTGTATATATATATATACGGAAAAAGGGACACGAAAAGATTTTTTTTAAAACAAGTTGGACCCACAGTTGCTTATACACATGTAAAGACCACATTTTTCCTTTCTTTTGGTCATTCTTTTTCTGGTTTCTACCAAGAGTTATTCTCTTTCTAAAATCATCTCTCTCTCTCAAATCTCTACTTTGAAGACAAGATTTCATCTCTTTCTTGCGTGATTTGATTTTTGCCATTGAAGGCAAAGTTGTAGAGCTCAATGGGGGCTATAAGGTGATCAGAGCAGATTGTTGATTGGTTGATTTTGAGCATTTCTAAAATTGGGGCTTTTGGGAGCTTTGGCTAGATTTGTTGAGGTAGGGGTTCCTAAACCGTACAACCTTTGATTTTAGTGAGTTATCTTCTATGATGTGAGTATAGTATGTGGAAATTGTGAATCTTGTTATGGTTGTTGAAAATTTTCTATGAAAAGTATGTTGGGTGTTCTTATGAATCTTGTTATGGTTGTTGGGTGTTTTTCCATGAAAAGTTTCCTATGAATCTTGTTATCATGTTAGTTCCTTGCAAAAATGTGAATTTTGTTCTATATGTTAACATGTCCTGGTTGTGTGGTTGATAACATGAGAATTGTGGTAGTACTTGATAGATAAAGCATGCAAATATGATTATGATGTAATGTATAAGTTTTCATGGTATTGAAGTGCATGTGGCACTCATACATTAACATGGGCAAGGGAAAAGGGAAATTAAGTTCTTAGAAGGAGAAGGAAATTGTTTTGGAAAAAAAGGTTTTGGAAATAGGGAATGACATCTCATATCATGGATTTGCATAACATTGCACTTGTGATGTGTAAAGTGTATGTGATGGTATGTTTTCTCCAAAATAAATATGACCCCTCTCTCTTTACGTCATTCTTTGTTTGTATTCACGGGGTCATTAAGGAATGCGTTTTAGGCACTTCTTACTAGGCTGTTGTGCTCACCCCATTATTATCATTTTTCAGAGTATGACTATGACGTGGATGAAGACGGACCTCACAAATATAGTTAAGATTGGTGGATACATTTTTGACAATTTTGTAATTTATGCTTAGTGGATGTAATTTATTTGTATAGTGCCGGTACTTCGTTTATTTTTGTATAAGGCATTGTAATCAAGACTTCAACGGTCTTAGTGGATGTAATAAGATGCCTGTATCCTAAAATATTATATATATATATATATATATATATATATATATATATATATATATATTTATATATTGCCATGCACCACGTATTTTATTATTGTTGGATGGTTGGGTTTTGTACAATTACGATTGTAATTAGATTAAATGCATACAATGGTGGTAAATGAGTAATGTTTTAGTGGTGGTGTAAGTGGGTATAATTGAGTGTATATTGATTAGCCAAACAAGTAACAAAGACACACAAATCTGGGAAGTTTCGGTCGATGTGTAATCACCTGCACATCAACCGATGTGTCCAAATTTTGGACAGTATGGGCATGGCACAAACTGGTTGACCAATTCACTCTAACCAGTCGACGTGTAGCTTCCCACACATACGTCGACCAGTATTTCTTATTTTTGGGCAGTGAGTAATCTCATTGTGGATGACCTAAACCAGTCGACATGTAATGTAAACACATCGACCGGTTCCTGTTTTATATATTTGTGATTTAATTTCCCGAATTATCCTTTCTCACCCATTTAAAGTTGCGAGTATTTACTATATGGCCCAATAAAATACATTAATTATATTTTAACCACGGGAATGACCCTATTACCCTCGGACTTCATCATAATCACTGGATAACCTTGGTAAATGACCTTTTTACCCTTTTGGGTTTTAAACCATCATAATTATGTTTAAATAACCATTTTGCCCTTGTTGGGCCTTAAAGTATTAATTTAATGGGAAATGACTAAGGTACCCTTGCATGACCTCTGGTTCGGGTAAGGACCCGGTTAGCGATTCGGACCCCTGGGTTCGGGTCGTTACAGATTTGGTATCAGAGCGTTAGGTTCGAAAACCTAAGGACGATGGGTAGGGTTAACCTAAATGGAGTTAGAATTGGGTTTGACGTAAATGCATGCTTATGTTATTATTGCTTGTTTAGTTTGAAAGTGTAATATTTCTGATTTTTGTCATTTTTCATTTTCTAGAATTTTTTTATTTTTTGAGGATATTTTCGTCTTATCTCGTTTTGCATGCCGGACACCGTGGGTTGTACTAGGTGTGTCAGAGTGCTGATTGGGACAATTCCTTGAGTTTAGGACTCTTAAAAATGCATTGGTTGACATTTTTTTTTTTTTTTTAGCCGTAGAACCCACATGTGATCTAACCATTTTTAATAACCAAAAGCCCATTACTGACTTCATTTCCTCTTTTCCCCTCATGTTAGTTTCTCTCATTTCTCTATACTATTTCTCTTTCCCCCCCCCCCCCCCCCTTTAATAGTCTAGATTGACACCAAGTTATTGTGAATTTGATTTTGCAATAGAAGGCAAAGTTGTCAAGCTCATTGTGGGCTTCGTTTTGATCAAAACTAATCTTCATTTGGCCATCCTTTGGATTTCAAAATTTTGGGCTGAAATTAGGATTTTCTTCATTTCTTGAGGTAGTGGTGCTCTAATCCACGGTCTCTTTGATTTCTTGTGAAGTTTTATCTTTAATTTAACTCTAAGCATGTTTAATTTCAGTTATCTTGCTTATAGTTATTGCGGTTGTACGTAATTGTGAGGATAAATGTGTTCTACGTGTTAATTGGGTTCATGTATATGATAAATTTCATTATGGTGAATAAGTATGCTTAGTATTGACGTGTTGTATTTTTTTTTTTATGATTTTTAATTGCTATGAAAATTGATGCTATAGTTATGGAAGAAAATGTTTAGAGCTCCCTGTCAAAATGTGATGATGATGTAGATGGAAAGTGTGAAATTTTATAGTTGAATTGATATATAGAAGCATGAAGCATTCATACATTCATTGGGAAAGAAAAAGATAAATTATTTTTGAAAAGCAAATGAAATTGTTTTGGGGAAAGATCTTCCTGAAAAGTGTTTGCGAAAACCCGGACGCCTAGGAGTCGCCTAGTGGTCCGTGATGTTTGTGTGGTCTAAAGGGGACTAGGGAGAGACCCTAGCGTGGTTGAGCTACCTAGGCCAGATACGATGCCCTGGAGTTGCCTTGTGGTGGTGGATAGTTAATCAATCCTCCTCTCGTGATGCCTTGGAGTAGCCTTGGGTCGGACTGCACTAACTGCTTAGAAAGGTGAAACAGTATTGTTTCAGAAATGGGGAGCGACATTTCATGGCATGACATATCATTGGCATATATTGCACACTTGGTAAT